GAATTGTGTGTGTGAAAGAGATTATCAGTTACATGAACAAACTAGACTCTAACTACTGTTGTAACTTGCTGTGCCAATTTTGTACATCACTCTCAATCAATTAAATGTCAGAAATCGCTTCACTATCTTAGGCCATAATGAGGATGGACTCTAGATCCTGGCCGAAATTCTTCAGCTAGAGCATTACTTTGCAAATAATCATATAGCTTACCACAACTCTTATAAGTGATCATTTTCAAAATAAAAGAAAGGAAATCAGTCTGTAATTAGCTAAGACACTTGGATCAAGTAAAGGGTTTGTAAATAATGTTTTAATTGGATTATAACCGTGTCATATGTAGCCTACTGATAAAGGTGAACTGATCATATTTAAAATTGTGGCAGTGGTTAATTGTAAGACTTCTGTGAGCAGTTGTTATGCCATCTCAGATAAAATAAGGAGAGCAGACAGGGACTCCCCACCATTTTTCCTAATCTGGATACCAGCATATATGTCTTTCTCAATAAGTTCTTTTTTGAAATTTTGAATAGATAAAAAGGTTTGCTGTCATGACAAGCAGGCAGTTAATAGTGCATGCTGAAAGTACAGTGAAATTGCACAAAAGTGTCATTCAATAAAAGACTTCAACATTTATTAGATAATTAATTATTAATATTTTCATTTAAAGTTAAAAAGCTAAAAAAAAAAAAGGGTTACCCTGCATTCACTTTACTGACTTGAAAAATGTTCATAAACCAAAAACATTCACTGTTTTTACAACTAGGTTGATGTGTACAGAAGCTGTTCATTTTAGGTAGTGTTGTTTACACTGTTGAGTTTGGAAAGGAAACATTCATTCTGGTCCAGTAAAAATGTCAAAATCGTGACTTCAGACTTAATACTGTGTCTGTCTTTGAAATGAATTGGTCGGGTATTTTTTGTACACAGACGTAAAAATGGCAAACGTATATTTTTTTGAATTACCTGAAATGTTTGATAACAGTGTACTGAGATGCCTCACGTAGTCTGAAAGACGCTAGTATTTTCATAACCTTTAATAAAGTGTCCTTACAAAAGAGTCAGTATTTTCTTTTAGGCAGTGTGACCTTTTTCCAGTGTGACTCTCATCATTCATTTATGATTGCTCACTCTGAGATAAACATGTAAATATGTTCCAGTGGTCAGAGGTTAACAGTAATTTCCTGCTGACCATAATCCTCACTGTCTTACATGTAAGTTCAGGTGTTTTCTTCTCTGGATGCTAGTTATAAGAGTTCAGACACCATGATACATGGCCCTGTTCATAGTACTTTTCTGTGAGATGGGTGGTGGGTTGAAGCATTGTCCTTTTATATAGTAAGATGTCAATGAGGAAACATTTCAGCCCTCAAGCATCAAAGCTATTTAAATGACTAAAATGAATAAATGTGATCATTTAAGGCCCCATTAGACTATAATGTTTCTATTTTTCACAGCACAGAAACTTCCCCCATAGAGATGGTAATTGACCTCAGACCTCACATACTAACGTAAGTCACTAATAAGGTTGCTGTCCTCATTTTAAGCACAACCTTTGACACAGCTGATAATGCACTCTTCACTGGGCAGGTTTTTCTGATAATGTTCTCAAATAATTCCAATGCTTCATCACTTGTAGAGATCAAGTATCAAACATACATGTCATTTTATGCGGTGTACCACTGGATAGAATTCTGGGCCCACTGCATTTTTCATTATACATGGCGGCTTTATGGCAGATAGTGCTGGGAATAGGGAAACATGGCTATCTTTAACCTAAATTAACAGTCAGATGACTGCAAATGTTTTAGTAAAAACTTAATGAGCATAAAATGGAAATGATTTTAAATCATCTTGGATCATCTTGGATCATCTTACATTTCTCACAGTCTGACACTTTACATTACAAAAACACATTTTAATTGACTTTTAATTAGTGTTTTGACTTTAATAAATTGATTTGTTGTGCTTTTCATCGTTCCTCTGTACAGCTGTACCTGCTGGTGATTTAATCCATGTTCAGAGATGCAGAGGATAAGCACATTTTTTCAGTAATATCATATCAGCTTCCTGCTTCAATTACTTCCATGTTTGTTTGTTTCCATATACCTGTGACAGATACTGAAAAAAATGTTCTGATATGTTTAATTATGGTTTCCAATGATTTTTATTTAAAAAGGAGTTAACCCAACTTTTCTTTGATCTAAGTATGAAATATCTGCCTCAAGGTGTCTGCAGCAGTATATTTTGTTGCTCTTGGCCTCTTAGCCATTGTTCAATATAAACCATTTTAATAGATTTAAAGTGATGTAGCTATTAAGTAATGTACAATAGTCAAAACATAAACGTAAGTAAAATGTAAGATTTGTAATTGCTTATAGCATTTGGGTTTGGATGTGCTGAGGTCTATCCTAAAGGCAGTCCTAGTCACATCAGAGGGCAACATGCTAAGATGGACCACTCTCTGGGGCCTTGCAGGCCATTAAAAGCTGGGTCATGTGGTCACTCTTGTCTCTTCCATCCATCCACTCTGATTCAACCTCATTTCCTGCAACAACTCCAAACACGACACACATGCACACTGTTTGTGTTTCTGTGATTTCCACAGTACCTCTTTGCTTTGT